GGGGTGGGGGGGGACTTGATTTACATGCAGAGCTGTTCTTATTTGAGCATCATACTTTCCACTTCATGATCTGTCATGCTGATTTTCAGCATGAGATTTTCTTTACATGAAACAGCAAACGTTAAAACCACAACATGGCATTGATGGAAATAAAGTGTACAGCACCAATAAGCACAGAAAATAAAATCCTTCGAAGTTTTTGTCTCAGGAACTACTAAGCCCTCCAAGTATTAAGTCAGACAGACGTAAAACTTACAGATTTTTACTAACTTGCCTTCTTGGAAAAGTTTCCAACACTGAATAATAACACGCCTGACTTGAACTACTTCAACTCCCAACTCTGTCCTTAAAACCAAACCTGCTTTAATATCTGAACCTTATTCCTTCAACAACACCCATCAGACACAGCGAGGCCTGGTTAACCTCGACTTGGACCTTCTTGTCGAGTGGTAATGGCTGAAAAACCAGATGAACCCAAGGTCCACAAGGACGATGGAATCTTGATTGACATGGAGCAGCTCATGCCTCATATTGGACTCCAATAGGACTCAAGTTGAGGTTTGAGATGGTACTGTTGAAAACAGCACCACAAACACTGTGATCTTTGTTCTTCTTCTTTCCCACAACAAATTGATGTGAGAGCACTTTAATAAAATGTTCTCACCATTTTGCATCATTTGTTGCTAACAGACTTCACTGGAGCTGTTTAAGTAGCTCCTTGTTTCTGCAGGAGGTCTGCATAGTTTTATATTTTTTTTGTTTGTTTCTGGAATCAAGATCATAATATTAATGATCCACTTGTTTTTTGTCTGTCCCTGCTTCTTAGCTTTACACACTCCAGCTAAAAACAATTAGCTTATTTCACTAAATTGGTCGCACCAGAATTTCTACTGAGTACCAGCAGAGGGATCCTGAGTACCACCTGTACTTGTACCACAGTTTAAAAATCAGGGCCCTAAAGACTCAGTTGACCACATAAGTCAGTTAGTCTTTTAATATTATGTGCTTTACCTGTCTGAAACTGAAAATGTCGATTTTTTTTCATTTTATTCATTTATCTAAAAAACAACAAATTCTATATACAACAAAATACAATCACAATTAAATGAAATGTAGCAGAAGAGTAAAAAAGTCTTATGATATATGCCCCTTTTCTCACTAAACAAATTCAATCAAAAAATCTTTTAAACATATTATGTAACTAAATTGTAGTGAAGAACCAGAGGAGCCCCCATGAAGTCTGAATTACCAACCTTATTGCTATTTCTTGTATCATGAGGGAAGGGGAAAACAAAGGTTATCAGATTACTTTATATTTGAAGTTATGAGGTTAGAAAAATTGGTTAAAAGGTCCCTGAATCTCTCTTTTTAACATTTCAGCCTTTGTCAGAATACAATTTCTGCACAAACATCCTTATAATTTTAGAAAAATCCAATACTAAATAAAAAAATCACCTTACTTACAGGTGTTCTTTAAGGCAGCCTATGGCATTTTTCCACTATTTTCCATTTTTTGTTTGTTTAAAAGGGAGATGAAACGCTCTGTTAAAACACACAGTGTATAATTTTATAGCTTCTCTCTGTAAAGGGGGCTCCTGCTGTCAGTGTGGGGACCACAATGCAGGCGCAGCAGTGCCGCACACAGATCAGTTTCATTCTTTGTCCGATGTGAATATAGGGGCGGAGGCAGAAAACTCATTAGAATCCTATAAAAAGAAAGTATCCGAGATCATAAAAGAGCCGGCTGGAGGAGAGAAGTGCTCACACTCAGCCCGACAGGAGACACAGAGGAGACCTGCTGCCTTCTCTGAATTTTAGAACACTTTAACAGATGTTTATTGTTCCCCTGATAAACCAGGAACAAGGAGGGGACTCTGTGCTTTCCAAGTAACTCTCAATGGCACTCATTCTTCTGAGAATCTTCTTTTTGCCAGCATAAAGGTGGCTCCATCAGTTTGGGCTGAGGTTTGACGCATGGACAGTGCAGGACGCACTCTTCCTACTGACAATTCCCCCCTTTTAGACACAAATTAAATATATTTTTGAGGAGGTTTATATATATAATTTTTTTATTTATTCTTAAACGGCGGTATTATTTCGAGGATGCTTGTCTCCACTTGGAATAGATGTTGCGTTGTGTTGTTCCTCGTCGCCTCAGTGAAGACCGGCGCATCCCAGGCATCAGAGGCACGACCGAAGGCGAACTCCATTAAGCCCGGGGTTTTGGAAGAGACGCCACTAGCAGCTGTGAACCGCTCCGCTCCTGTCACCAAGAAACACAAGAGCCACCCACAGGTAACTGTTTGAACTTTTAATAGAAAATAATAAGAGTTTTGATAAGACGTTTCCAAAGTTTTTACGCACAGTGCGTAAAATAAGTTTTTTACGCACTGTGCGTAAAAACATTATTAATTATTACAAACGGAACTGTTATGTTATTTTATTTACCCTTTTAAGAAAAAATGCAAACGTCAGAATAAAAATACACGCGTTAAATAAACCTCTTGTGTGTGAAGTGTTGGTGGAAGTTGAGACCCCCATAAACCTTAATTGCCTTTCAGACCTGACGCCACAGTCGGGTGCAGCGCACTGAGACAGTAAATCATTAATGACAACAGAAAAGTGAGAAAAAGTGAACTCGTGGGGTAATTTTCTGTCTGGGTCTCGGTGTCATTAACGTGGTCCAGACGCTTGCTGGGATTATGAGTTTATTATAGGGGCCTCTGAGGAATACCTTTACCAACTCAGAAAAGCCTTGGATTCCTGCTGTTTCCACAAAATGACAAATTGTTTTAATTTGATTGTAAATATTGAACTTGAATAACTGTTAAAAAATTAAAATATAGTGGGCAGTTTTCGTTTATAAAAGTCAATGATGTAGTCTTTACTGTTATAAAAGGTGGCAGATGCCATACGTGAACAAAAAAAGAGTGAAAAAAAGAAAAAAGGGAGACTTTCATTTCCCACTTTATTGCTTTAAATTTAAAATTAAAAACATTTTTATGATGAGCTTAGATTTGTTAATGAAACCTGTGTTTGAGCAGCAGATGGCACTGCCACATCTCCATCACATCTCTCTGACATTTTCTTGTTTTACCATTAGAAAAAAATAAATAAAACAGAAATCTGCTCAGTTTTCTGTAATATCCTTGTAGACATTTATACCTGTTAGGTCTGAGAGCAGGAGCACCCAGCTCTGAGAGAGAATGATATTGTAATCATTATAAATGATAGAAAAACCAAACTCTCTCCTCCGCTGAGCGAGGAGACCCAACCTCAAGCCACTTTGCCAAACCTCAGTTTAAACGCCTACTTATGTCTTTGCCATTGCAATAATGTGGAGCGGTTTGGAAGAGCGAACTGAGGGAGAACATTATGCATACACAGAGACCACCATAATGCCCTGGTGTATTTTGCCTTAAATCAAGGCGCTTATTAGTTTTTATAGCCGAATTAGAGTGTATACTTTATGTGTTTGTTATAAAGTGTGCCATTTCTGGCTTTTAGAAAGTTTTCCAGCGTTGTAAAGGAACGAGCACAGTTTGGTTTTTATGCTTGACGAGCTGATGTTCTGCATCTCGAACAGGTTTTATGAAGTTGATAATTTCAGGATAATAAAGCCTCTATTTTATGAGACTTTTAACAGTCAAATATGCCACAGTTTAAAACATTGCTCTGTAGCTTTATTTATTTATTTTCTTACTCAAACGGGCTTTGAAGTATAGGTACAAAACCCAAAGTTAATTACACAAACATTTGTTATCTAAAGTGTCTTTCAGTGGAGACAGACATTTTTTCTTACCTTCATTTGAAATTACTGATGATTGAAATCATTGGGTTTGGATCTGGGAAATTGGAATGAAACATTACATTTTTTTTTGTTTGTGGGTTTTGGGGATAAATGAAATTATATGAAAAAAAAACTTTGGTGCCAAAATGCTACAAATATATTTATGGTGAAGTTATCAAGTTGCTGAGAGGCTGTCAAATAATTACGCTTTCAGAAGAATTGCAACATTAAGTGTGACTGCAGGCTCACCAGCTACCACCATGACCATTTTATAAACTCTACTTCTTCTCAGTCAATTATGAGCACAGACAGTAAATTTCTTGTGTTTACATAACATGCAGAAGATTACATTAAAACCCCTCAAAGGTGCCTTCAATATTTTTTTTTTTTGGTTTACTGCTTTAAATATGACAAATGATAAGCAAAAAGTGTGCAGCCACAATGAGAAAGAAGTGACTGCTGCTCTAAACTACTGTTTGATTCAGAAATATTTGGAGCTTTGGTTTACATAACAAGCCAGAGCAGATATTCTGTCAGTATTTAGTTGTAGCAAAAAGGACTCTTGTGAATCTTATCACATCAGCCTGATGTTATTACATCTGACAAAGCCCAAACCTCAGAGACCTTGACAGTTAATAGCAGGTGACACTGTTGGCTCCTTTGGAAAGCAACCAGCAGAAACTGATATGATGACCCAGAAGTGCTTACCCCTGTAAGCCCTCTGAGCCCACAGGGAAACCAATAGTGTATCTGTTAAACCTCAGCATCCAGTCAACTGTCAGTCTTTGCACATAGTGCAAGAACCAAAAATCTCTGACTAATTCATCATAGTTGCTTTGTAAAATGACTATCCAGTGGGCAGAGAAAAAAAGATGGAAGAAGTGTGACTGCCTGTTAGCAGTAGGCAGTGGGTCACTGGGCTACAAACGCATTACAGTCTCATGACAAAGTTGAAATCTTTTGACACTTACGACTTCTGCTTGAATGTTGTGCAACAGTGATGTGTGACAAATGAGTAATTTGGACCATATAAGCATGGTGCTTCTCCCCAATCCAGCAAACATTTTACTGTATCATCAGACATCCAGTGATGTGCATTTTAGGATGCATTCACACCAGGAAAGTCCTTTGGTCCACTTGTTTGGTCCGGACCAAATTGCAGATTTAAATTTTTTTTCTTTGGTGCGGTTTGCATTCACATTGTACTTTTTTACTAGTGGACTATAATTTATAAACAAAGCCATGCAGGTGAAGGTTTTTGTGGTCATTGCCCCCACTGGACAGAAGTGACGGGGGCAGGACAGAGCCCAGACCTGCAGACGGCATTGGCAAATGCGTGCCGCAACCTAAAGAAGATAAGATGCTCTGCGTTCCCTGAGTCACAATGGCTCATTTTTTTGTAGCGCAGCATTAGCATTAGCGAACGAAGGGCTAATGTTGCTTAGAAACAGTGGCTCGTGAAGTCCAAAAAGGCTCATGTTTCCTGTAGTTGGTTCGGTTTAGGGCTGGTCTGTATTCCCATCAAAAGCGAACCTCACCAGAGATTGTTTGGAAGCAGACCAAGGCAGACCGAGACCACCAAAAATGGGTCTCGGTCCAGTTATCTGCACCCAGGTTGAGTATATTCACAATTGCATAAAAGGCCCGGACCAACAGGGGAAACAAACTCTGGTCCGTTTAAAGTGGACCCACCCTTAGAGAAGAACTGAAGAAGCTGCTGCTTGAGGACCAAAACATGGCAGATCTTCATTACTGCTTATGTGGTCAAGAATGGATCAGTCACATGTTTAATATAGTTTTTGTTTTCAGTGTTGTGTCTAATCAGTCACAATTTAGTTTTATGAGTAGCCCAGCCCTCAAAAGGTTGTCTCACATTTCCTGGACTTTCAGACTCATGGAGACTGACGTCACCAAGACAAAGATCCTCATGCTCAAACAGGAACAGTCAGAACCACTGCAAATGTTTTGAAACATTTCAGAAACTCCCCAGTGAAATACAAGTGATAGTATCTTTTACAGGTGCTTTTATTGTTAGATGGGAGACATGAGCTGCTTTTGGCCTTTAAGCATTTTGTTTGTAGTCAGATCTCTTTAGTGGCACGAGGAGATGTGATTGATTCAAATACAAAAATGTATTTATTAGCCGAGCATCATCCAGCACCTGCACTGTTAAACTTGCACTTGGGTTGTTACAAAAAGAAAACTTAATTGTTGCCATTTTCTGTTATGAATGTTCATCTTTGAATGGCCATCCATCCATCCGTCCATCCATCCATCCGTCCGTCCATCCATCCATCCATCCATCCATCCAGATCCATCCATCCATCCATCCGTCCGTCCATCCATCCATCCATCCATCCATCCATCCATCCATCCATCCATCCATCCATCCATCCATCCATCCATCCATCCATCCATCCATCGAGACCTCTCTTCTGCAACCACCTTTTATTTCTGTAGCAGTCTGTATCACAACAAAACTGAAGAAGCCTCCGACTGAAGACACTGTTTTCCTGTGTCAGTCTCATGAAGAGGAGGGTCAGGGTTTTCCACAATGTTCTTGATTTTATGTAAAATCCTTCCTTGCACCATCATCTCCAGAGTTTCCACAGTCGTCCCCAGAACAGAAGCAGCCTTCTTTATCAGGTTGTTTAGCCTTTGTAGGTCCCTGGCTCTGAGGCTGCTGCCCCAGAAGAGATGTTGCCCTCAACAACAGACTTGTAGAAGATGTGGAGCCTCCAGGTCTCTCTCATGGAGTGTTTCTCACAGTCCTTATAACCGTCGATGTCCTTGTAACTATTTTATTTGAAAACAACCACAGTAGCATGGTGGCATTCACCTACTTCACCTAGAAAAAAATATGAAAGAATATGGGGCTTTTCAACCAACACCAATGGACTTGCAACACCCTGCTGCAACATGCAGATGAAGAACACCATTTAAAAATGATTCAGAAGTATACCCAACCCATGAACCTGGGATAAAGCTGAACTCCACCTCAAAAGTTGAAGCCAGAAGAGGGACAGCATCCTTACAGGAATAAAAGGCATGTCATCTTTATCGAAACAAACACCTCATAAACTTTTTATGTGTTGACGTTTTGTTAGATTCAAGTATTCCTGCTGTATGTTAAGATATATGTTTTTTAAATACATTTTGCTGTAGTCATTTCAGGCATAAAATGAAGGTAAAATATGACAATGACTGTGTGTGCAGAAGTAGGCAGTACTTAAAGCCCCACATCGTTAGTTCACAGACTCTGTCTGGTTCCAAAAATACAACATGGCAGCGCCTATAAACTGAATCCTGCTGGCTTCCATTCCCAACAGTGAGAGAAGGCAGGGACATTTGGTCTGGTATTTTAACACGTGTCAACGGTCCATCTACCAACATTAGTTATTAGGACTCCTGTGTGTGGAGCTTCCAGACCCATTACACCCTTCAATATTACCATCAAGGGCTTTCCCTTTTCCATGTTAGTCTTTGCACAAATACCCATTTTTAA